TTTGCAGTTTTTAACACGAAGCGCTTACAATGTGCGCATCCGGTGTGCAGAATGACAGAATGATGGCAACACGGCGTCAGGCTGTGAGAGAGAGAGAGAGAGTGTGTGTGTGAGAGAGAGAGAGAGTGTGTGTGTGTGTGTGTGAGAGTGTGTGTGAGTGTGTGTCGTCAGGTTGTGACGTCATCATTCTACACACCGGATGCGCACAATGTAAGCGCTTAGTGCTCATAGACTGTATAAAAACAGTTTGTGCTGCACTGTATTTGTTTTGTCCTGTCGTATCTATCATATGTTGTTGCCTTATTAAAAAATATGCTATACATTCAAAATAAATTTATTTTAATTTTATAGCATATATTTAAACATATATATGAATGTTTTTAATGAATGGATTTTATAATAATACAAATAGCAATGTGTAACATTTTATCATATTTAGTGCAACACTTTTATTTGTTCCCCACAAAATATTGTTTTTTCCACTGTGTTTGCATTTCTAAAATTGTGCACTGATTTTTCTAGAATAACTTTTGCTGCCGAATTATCCACTAACCTAGATTGATAAATTTTTGTCATAGATTATAAATATACATAGGCCTATATTTTTTCATATTTATTGTTTATTTTATTTTTCTTTATAATGAAGTAGTCTGTATCTAGTAGATTGTGAAAGAATGATTATCAGTTCCACACACAGAGATATATCAATTCTACATTTATTTAAATGGAGGAAAAAACTTCACTGGTGTTGGTATCGGCCAATACCAAACCCTAGGTATCGGAATCGGTATCGGAGGCGAAAAAGGCGGATCGGAGCATCCCTAATGCCGATATTTGAAAAATGCCAAATATCAGCCGATATATCGGCCTTGGAAATATATTGGTCGACCTCTATTTATAATGTTACAAAAGATTTCCATTTCAGATAAATGCTGTTTTTCTGAACTTTTTATTCATCAAAGAAACCTTAATAAAATCTACTCAACGGTTTTCAACATCATCGTCATAATAATAATAAATGTTCTTGAGCAGCAGATCAGAATATTAGAATGATTTCAGGAGGATCATGTGACTTGAGTAATGATGCTAAAAATTCAGCTTTGCGTTTTTACATTTTAAAATGTTCAAGTAGAAAACAGTTATTTTGAATAGTAAGAATATTTCTAAATTGTACTGTTTATTTGGATTGAATAATTGGTGAACAGAAGAGACTTCTTTAAAAAACATTAAAAATCTTCCTGTTCAAAAACTTTTAACTGATAGTGTTACATGTGCACGTTTTTGAAATGCTTTGTGTCTAGTGTGGGAGAGGATCATAAATGCCTGGGTGTGTGCGCGACTGTAAAAAGTTTGAGAATCACCGGACTGCAACATTCGTTTAAGCTCATAGCATGATGTAGTTATTGTGGTCGTTAGGGTTTGCAGTGGTGTTGTGTCCTGACCCTGAGTTTGTGATCCTGTGTTTCTGCAGAGGCCAGTCAAAGGATTTCTGTTTGCTAAACTCTACTTTGAGGCTAAGGAGTATGAGCTGGCTAAAAGGTAGGCTGGTCTCTGTGCTCCTGCTGCTTTGTCTGATGTCTGCTTCCTCTCGGATGAGCTGATGTTTCTCTCTCTCATACACTTCAATGGCAGACATGTTTCGGAGTATCTGACCGTCCAGTCGAAGGATCCTAAAGCGCACAAGTTCCTCGGGCAGCTGTTTGAGCGAAACGGCGAAACAGACAAAGCTGTGGGATGTTACAAGGTTTGGACTCTCCTCGTTCGCTCTCACATGTTCTCCTAATGCATGCTCTTAAACACACTCTCGAGCTTTTGAGTTTAATGTGATCATGCATTAATCATAGGGCTGTAAATAAATATTCATATAATGGTGTTGTCAAGCATCTGCTAACAGGTTGTTTTCTCTCTGACACACTGCAGTCTGTGTTTTAATGAAGCGCAAAGTCCATAATTTCAATGTGTTTCAAAGTGTTCATTTATACGTAGGGTTGGGAATCAAAAATCGATTCCGATTCCAGAATCAGATATGTAAGGTCAGGAATCGGATACTTGTTGTCAAATTAAAATTTAGATTCCGCCTATCGATTCCTATGCGCTTTTTTCTTCATCGGTGCGGACCGGACCTAGCGATCTGCCAGGACCTTGCTCGCTAATCTAAGTGCTTCAAAGTTTGGCTGACAGGATAAATGTTTGATATCATTTAATCACATTGGAATCGAAACTGAAAATCGAAAAGAATCAGAATTGATAAAATTCTAACGATACCCAACAGTATTTATACGTGAGCAGCTCATGATCTAATGCCTTCAGCATCTCAGAGCAACTCGGTTCGCAAATGAATCATTTAAAGAGAACTGGAAATAAGGGGCTGTTCTGATCTGTTATGAATGTCTTGATGAAGTTTGCAGATGGTCTGACTGAAGGCCTGCAGAAAGCATTAAATTCAAGTTCTCGTAAACTCTTCTCTCCGCTGCAGCTGTCTGTCATCCTTCGTTTAGTGTTCAAGCTGTGTGTCGTGTTCGGTTACGACAGTCAAGATGATGAAACTCTTCAAGAGCGCACAGTAACTGAGATTTAAAACTGTTAAAAGACAAGGCTCAATAAACTTGCGCACAGATTTTGAAGTATAGAAATTTTACACTGATTTAAAAAAAACAACGCACTGGTATCTGCTCGGAATCGGCCGATACTCAGAATTTTCTGGATCGGATTGGATCTGTAAAAAGGGTATCGCTGCATCCCTAATCACGATATTGAGCCGGCATCATCATTCCCCAAACCCCCCCCCACCTGCCGCGACACGCCCGCGAACAAACATAAATCATTCATCATACTCTATCGCCTAGTGCAAATAATATAAATTGCGGGCACCAGGGAGGCGCGATTTAATATGCAGGGCATTGAAATCCATTTTGAATGCACGTTCGCTTTTTACTTCCACTTTCAAGATTCGCGATCACACGTGTGGAGTGGCACTCAGTAGTACTTACCACACATTTTACAAGATTAGATGTTTGCCAGTGATGCTCAGGATCTGCAGATCATTCGCTATCGTCCTATTAGTCATCTCTCCTTACTCTGTTTATGTGGTAAGTGAAACTTTATGTACTGTCTGTTAGGGCTGGGTATCGATTCAGATGTCCCGATTCGATTTTGATTTGCAAGCTTTTGATTCTCGATTTTATTACATTCAGTGAATATAGTTTTAATACAAATGCTATTGATATTTCTAAAAAATGAACAATAAACATCAGTTTACAAATGGTGAATTAAAAAAAGAAATTAATACCACAGGTATTTTAAACCTATTCTTTTTTTGTATGGGTCCTTTTTTAAACAATAATAGGGCCCTATAAAATGTTCTTAATTTTTCTGGTAATCAGATGCAGATTTTGAAGTATAGAAATTTTACACTGATTTAAAAAAAAAAAAACGCACTGGTATCTGCTCGGAATCGGCCGATACTCAGAATTTTCTGGATCGGATTGGATCTGTAAAAAGGGTATCGCTGCATCCCTAATCACGATATTGAGCCGGCATCATCATTCGATTTTGATTCGCAAGCTCTCGATTCGATTCTCGATTTTATTACATTCAGTGAATATAGTTTTAATACAAATGCTATTGATATTTCTAAAAAATGAACAATAAACATCAGTTTACAAATGGTGAATTAAAAAAAGAAATTAATACCACAGGTATTTTAAACCTATTCTTTTTTTGTATGGGTCCTTTTTTAAACAATAATAGGGCCCTATAAAATGTTCTTAATTTTTCTGGTAATCAGATGAAGGCATAAAACATGAATTTAATTTATCCTAATCAAATGAAAATTAAACCGTTTTATTTTTTGGCAAACAAAGTGCTGCACAACAGAGGTGTACGGTTAAAATTAAAAAGAAAACCGATGTGATTATTCCTTTAAAAATAAAGATTTATTAATATTTATTAGCAGTAGTAGCATTGAGTCTTCAGACTGCTAAATAGTAATATATTCTGACAGTTTAACATTAAACTAAACTTTTATTTTGACGGGTTGCCGTGAGGAACTTGCAGCTGCTGTGTGTGTGATATGACGGTAGTTTTCTCAAATGAAACGGTAAATGCTAATGAAGTGACTCTCAGAGCAGCTGGAGATGACATTCGTGTTCATATCATCATATAGTGAGACGGCAGAAGCTGAAAACACCGCGAGCGTCATCCGCGCTTTAGTAAGTGTGTAGTAAACAAAACCGTGCGCTGCAGATTTATAGTATTACTATAGCATTTCACCTGAGTATTTCGAATCACGCGTATGTCCATAAGCGCTGAATGAATGACAGGCTTTCTCTTGTAACATCGCGCAAGATAAATAAGGGTGACATCTAGTGGAGAAGACTAATGATAAGATCCACGTTGATCAGATCTGGTTTTAAATGTGTGCTGAAATAAATCCTGGAAAAGATCGATTCGCGGCTTTTGAGAATCGATATCGAATCGACGTCATTTTAAAAAACGATTAATCTGAAAAATCTATATTTTTTGCCCAGCCCTACTGTCTGTTATGTAACAGGCTACGCTAGCAAGTGGCATAACCATGTCCCTTTAGTGGCTCTCTACAACGCGTTTCTTTTTCGGTGCCTTTCCGAATACGGATTCACGCTTCGGGCACATCCCTAACCCCCCCGATGTTATCATCCATCACGATGTTTCACTGCAGACATCGTCTGATGCCAATTTGGTAGATATCGCCCAACCCTAGCGTTTATCTGTATTTTCCTTTCCAGTTTCCGTCGCTGCTTCTGTTTTCAGTGTTGTTGTACACTGTTGTCAAATGTATCGTTCACCTTCCAGTGCGGCGCTGAAGTCTGAGTGAGAGGTGTGTACTTTATGTAATGACTGTGTTTGTTGGACTCTTAGCGCTCGGTGGATCTGAATCCGGCTCAGCACGATATGGTCCTGAAGGTGGCCGAGCTGCTGTGCAGTAAACCCGAGCACGACAGCAGAGCCGAGTTCTGGGTGGAGAAAGCGGCCAGGCTTCTGCCGGGACACCCGGCTGTCTTCAATCTGAGGGTGAGTGTGAGCTAAAGAGCTGCAGACGTCCGCTGTCCTGCGTCTCACGTGTCCTCTCTGCCGCAGGAGAAGCTTCTGAGCTCTCAGAGCGGCTCGAACCAGCTGTACGAGCTGCTGCATTCGGAGCTCAAGCTGCGGCCCGCAGACACCTACATCAACCAGAAGCTGGTGCAGCTCTACAGCGCCGAGGGCCGGCTCCAGGACGCCGTCAAACACTGCCTCGCCGTGGAGAGAGCCGGCGTCCTGAGACACTGTCTGGAGTGGTATCAGCTGTTAGTCAGCACCCTGCAGGTACAGCATCGCCCGTCCTCACGCCAGTGTCTCTTACGGTGGTTGCTTTTAGCTCATTCATCTTTAAAGCAATAGTTCACCCAAAACTGACAGCACAAGACTTCTGTTTGTCTTCAAAACATATGATGGTGTTTAAATGAAACCTGAGAGATCTCTGTCCCTCCATTCAAATTCCATTTAAGCACAACTTTGGTGCTTCAAAAAGTTTGTAAAGGCATTGTAACAGTAATCCATATGGTTTAATCTGATCATGTGATATGATCAACAGATGAACAGATTCACATATTTTGCGTTGCACAGTGCTTGGTTTCTTGGAAAAATGAGAATGTGGGAAATTGGCCATTTGAATTGTTTGAACCGTTTAGCTGCGTGACATTGTAGTGTAAAACCAATGCTAAAATACTGAAATATAAAAATTAAAATAAAAAAAACTAAACTAGTAAATAAAACTTTCTAATGTTTTCTTTTTATTTATTATATTATTTAACCCCTAAGCGGTCAAAGATCGGCGATGGCCCCAGATTATTGTTGTTTCACTTTAACAGCACGTTAAACATCACGCTCTTACTTGATCTGGACAAACTGTGCATCAGTAGAAATATTAAAGACTCTAGCTTCGATATTTGATCACTGTTTTGAAAAAAACAATGTTGCAGTGACAGTAATTTATGTCAGGAGTGCAAAATAATAATGTAACGAGTCATGTTTAGAATAGAAATTCACCACGCATTCATATTCAGTCATGTCAGCAGCGGTTTATTTGTGTTCACATAGATTCACTGAACAGCGTTAATAAGGGCTTATAGTCCAAAGATGCATATACATGGAGATATATAGATATATTTACTCATGTTTACTTCATATTTCTTCAGACAGAATCATCATTTCTATTCATTTTCCACTGATTTAGGCGATCTGATGATAATTAGCTGCTCCCTGGGCTGTCTCTGTGCGTTTACTCTTCCGTGCTCGCGCTGTGACTCAGACAAACTCTGATTGGTCCGTCGCCTGTCACTCATAACTGCGCATCATATCCCGCCCCGTCTTATCCTGTCACGCGCTTGATTTCTGACCACAACAACACAGAGAAACCGTGTACTTTTTCTTCAAATTACAAGTCAAGAGAGTAGGGGTGCAACGGATCACAAATCTCACGGTTCGGATTATATTACATTATCATATCACATGATTACATCATATCACAGGATTACATATCACATTTCGCAGGATTACATCATCATCATATCACATTTCACATGATTACATCGTCATATCACATTTCACAGGATTACATCATCACATCACATGATTACATCATCACATCACATGATTACATCATCATTTCACATATCACATGATTACATCATCATTTCACATATCACATGATTACACCATCATTTCACATATCACATGATTACACCATCATTTCACATATCACATGATTACACCATCATATCACATATCACATGATTACACCATCATATCACATATCACATGATTACACCATCATATCACCTATCACATGATTACACCATCATATCACCTATCACATGATTACACCATCATATCACCTATCACATGATTACACCATCATATCACCTATCACATGATTACACCATCATATCACATATCACACGATTACACCATCATATCATATATAACATGATTACACCATCATATCACATTTCACATGATTACATTATCATATCACATTTTGAGTCACAGATCGGATCATTTTTCAGATGAGCAAAAAAAAAGGTTTTTATTAAGTAACACTTATTATTTAAAGAACAATTTACTACTTCGATACCACAGCAAAAACTAGTAGCATATAAGGATGTAACGATTCACTCAACTCATGATGTGATACGATTCACGATACTGATTTCACAATTTAAGACAGATTTTAAGAAAGGTGTCCTTTTGTTATTTCTCAAACCAAAAGGCTGCACATTAGTTTGTGAAATTGAAAATGTAAAAAAATATACTAATTTAAAATTTTAAAACAAATCCAATAAATAAATACAAATAAAATAAATGTCTCCATGCAAGTAAACTAAGGTTTTGCCTGTGTATTTTAATCACGATCCAAACAAAGATGCTGCATACATGTTCTTTAGGTTGTAAAATTTTGAAACAAAAACAAAATGGTCTGACTTTAGCTTTGTGATACTACATAAAAAATCTGAACGAAACAAAAAAAACAGCAGACGGGCTGAATGAGATGCAAATGTCACTCTCTGACAGCAGGTGGTGCTAGAACAGCAGGTATTTATAGGCTGCTGACTCTTTAAGACCGAATGCACGGATCCAATATAATGATGCACGTGCGATTTCTTTCTCCACTGTTTGTTCATTTAAGACACAAAAATACTTGCCGAGATAGTTATTTTGAGATAATTTTGCATGTATGTGACCGTTCAAGCAAAAGAGGAATCAATTCTGTGTTCATGCTCTGCCTGAAACGCCGCTTTGTATGTGCGTGCGAGCACCGAACTGAATTCTTCATGCGCATGAATGGTTTAAAACGCATGAATGTTTAAATTGGTATGACTTAGAAACACGTGTAAGTGATAAACTATGATCCGTTTCACCTCTACAAGCGAATGAGCAACGCGAATCAAGGAAGGGATTTTATATCACTATTCAAGATAGCCCGTTGGGCAGGGCAGTGATACATTTTGGTAGCCCGACTGGAAAACACAATAGCCTCGGGACGTCGGGCTAGCGATTTTTGCGAACCCTGAATAATGAATGTGTACATCTGAAATGCTGATTTGTGCAGCGATATAAAAGGCTATAAATAGCATATTTTTACAACAGTAAACGACCAAATTCCACATGAGATGGCAAAAGGAAGTTATTACAAACACTGAATGGTGGTTTAAAGTGAGTTTTGAGTGAAAGTGTACTAATAATCTCGGTTAGCTCTAGTGCAGCTGCAGAACAGGTGCAGCTCTTCTTCATAATGCATGTTGTCATAATTCTCGTAAGGTCGCAAGAAAATGTTTTGTTGTATTTTTATAGAAAGACTTTTGATAATAGTTGGGTAAATGTATACCGGGATTGAAGTGATGTGGTTTGGTAAACCTTGTAATGCCAGAATAAAGGCTACTAATGGCTGAATAAAACAAAAGAATAATGATAAAGGAATGAGGATAATGTCTCATACCTGGCGGAGGTGTGAAAGGTTCGTCGGGTAAGAACAATAGAATCATGAATGGGGCAGTTTGACAAGACCGCAGGCAGGAGAGCTTACAGAGGGCCATAAATCAATTTTATTAGCCTTTTATTAGTAGGGCTGGGTATCGTTCAGAAATGTTCGATGTCGATACCGATACCTTGAATTCGATACCAGTTCCTGAATACTTTTTTCGATACCTATTTTATGAAATCAATTTGAACAATTACATTATCTAAAAAATCAAAATTTTTGGTTTTATTTTTCAGCTTGATGTTTATACAATCTCAAAGACTCATCTCCTGAGCCACTGCACAAAGGAACAAAATGTAACCAACACAATAAATCAGTGCAAATAGTTTTAATAAAGCTCAAATAGTCTTCAGTTTACACATCTGTTAGGCTACATTTACACTAGTT